AAGGATTTGCCATGCATTAGTCAATAAATGGCTAGGAGGCCTCTAGTTGTGTAAGCATTTTTTACATAGTAGCTTCGACAAAGATGCAACACATATCTCTCTCAGTAGTAAAACATGTTTTGAATGAACATCCTCTTCTGGTCTGGTGATTCTTTTTTTGTTCTTCTCATTTTAAGGGTCTCCATAGTGGCTCATCTGACTCAGTTTCATCCAGTCAACTTACACCAACTCTCTGCATATCATTACTCTTCCATCGTTACATCCATGAATCTTCTGGTCATCTCCAAACCATCTCAGCCTTTCCTCTCTAACTTTAACCTCTTCCACAAAACACCAGAGGCTGGGACTTAAATTGTATTTTCACTGTGTGTATTTTCTGAAAGGAAAGGGACAGTGTTTGGTAGAGCCTGTCCATTGCCTTCCTATGCAATTCTGCTTGATTCTTATCTCCCTTCAGTTGTCCTATTGAGTTTGATTTATCACAATGAATTTCATCCTGGCCAATCAGTTTGGCAAGTAGAGGAAGTGAATGAACCAATTGAGTCCATGTTGGCCAAAATACTGAGCAATTAAAGTTCCTTCTTGGCAGTGGAGGATGGTTATTTACAGCACCTGCAATTTACATTTCTTCTTATTCCAAAGCAAATTGCACTTCCCACATTACTGTTGTGGACTGAAAATGTGCAGATATGACCTGGTGGGCCAGTCTGTCAGTCAAACCTCTCTCAGGGAGAGCAGACAAGGACATATATTGACTTTTAGACCTTTGCTGAGATACATATAAGTATCAGCCGATTACCAACAATTAAGGAAATGGGTCCAGATAAATCGACTTGAAAATATATTGGTGCATGATTTTTTATGCTACATTTTATAACACAGTGTCATCTGCAGACACTGATATATTTTTGCCTGACCTCATACCTTTCCTTTACTGGTGTAGATCCTGCAGTTCTGCTTATTATATCAATACATGAACGGACATTGTCATCCAAGAACCAGCAGAAAGTAATTATCTTTCTTTTTCTTTAGATTTTTTTTGTACATAATTTCTCTTGGTATAACATTTACAAGCGAAGGTTTTTTAATCTTAAATGCAAAATGCATATATTTGTTGTTCAGTTTTGGCTTGATTACTTCTCTGAGTCATTCTTTCAGCAAATGGCATGTTGTAGAGTCTGTATACTCCAGTTAACGATTAACAATTAAAAATGTTTCTAAATTAGTTGACGTTTGTTTCAATAATCAGTTTATCACAGTTAATCTGATTAATTGTGTCAGTCCTACATTGAAGTTTGTGGTTGTAATGGGACAAAATATGAAAAAGTTCAAAAGGTCCAAATATATTTTGCCATTCTGTATCTTATTGATTCCCTAATCAGCTTTAAGTACAATAAGCTCACCGTGTTTAAGCTCTGCCTGTACCTACAGTATCCACTTCAGTCCATCCATCGGAGCAGCAGCCATCACACCTGTCTCCAGCTGAAGTGTGGCTGACAGCACCAATTAGCATGAGATCAAGTTCGACATCTTCATTCACATTTCAGTGCTCTCCTGTAACGTCTGTCACCAAGACGATACACGAGCACCTGCACACATCGAGTCCTCTTTAGCAGGAAAACGCTTTATTTTCCCTAAAGTGTCCCGGATTTCGGGAAACGAGATCATCTGACCGACAGAAATTCGTTTCTGTCCTTTATATTTTGTCACAGCCAAAGTTTGGCTTTATCTGGAGTTTCAGAGCTCAGAAAGGATTTGCTTCTCACAGAAAGCTGCTTCTAAGAGACGACAGAGCTCTGGAAGAACTGAACAAATTTGCTAAATGTTCTTCAAAGATACCCACAGCATAAAATTACAGTTAGCGGTCAACAAAGCAGAGGGTTGTGTGCTGTCGGCAGCATCAGGAAATCCCCTCAGAGTATCAGGACATAATATCTGACACAATGTCCTGTTTGTTGTTGCTTCTTCTTGGTATTCCTGTTTTCTTCCTCTGAAGAAATTGGTAGAAAATTCCATGGAAATAAAGATCTATTACTGTACATGATGCACCATTTCCTCTCTTGTCATCATTTTATTTCATATTCACTGTGGGTATCACATTCCTCCTCTCATTAACCATGACTTGAAGCATGAAAAGCTGCTCTCCAGTAACCTCCATTTCTCCGTCCTCACTGGCCTTTTTTGCTTGGAGCTGTTTCTTTTCCCTCCTCCTGATCTCTTTCTCCCACAACCCCCTCCTATTTCTTTCTCAGATCATTTACTTCCGCTTTGTTCTTTGCAGATTAGGGTCACACGCTGACGAAGCCCCTCCGCGGATTTCGGGAGTCTCGGGGCCTCACCGCCTCATTCGCAGAAATCTCTTTTGCACGTATTTGTGCCGCTTCTGCATTCACTCTCCACTTCTGAAACTGTCGCTGAAACATGTCTGACTCACATCCACCGCACTGTCCTAGAAGAGGAAATGAGAGTACAGTTCATGGAGCACTTAAAGAAAAGGTGGTTGACTCCAGTTATGTGAGGCTGACGTTTGAGGCCATCTTTGTTTTTCACTTTGTTGCTGGATCGCTTCAATGTTCCTTCCTGGACTTACAGCAGACAACTCTGAACCTGTTTGTTGCAGGGGATGGTTTGGTTTGGTTTGGTTTGGTTGTCCAAATCCTGCTTTAGAATCAGCAATACACTTTGACACCCATGACACGCTGAGACACAGGATGTGAGAAGTGAAAATGTCTGTTTGCTTTGAAGCTTGTGTATTTATGTCTGTGCTTATGTGTTAATTCTAAAAGAAAGACCAACTCAAACCACACATTGTCATTCTTTAAAAATAACAAACCTTTTACAACAAACCTGTCATCTTGTCCTGGCTGGGACTTCATTCATGCAGTCTGAGGTACATGTGTGGATTTCACTGAGGATTTCCTCATATGGTCCAGAAACTCTAATGTTGCATGTCTTCTCTTCCCAAATTGTTTTCAAGTGTGAATTTATACACACGTATGCTTCTGTTAAATAGACATGTGAAAGTGAGGCTGAAAAGGGAATGATGTAAAGATTGTGGTTGACAGCTGGTCTCACACAGCCTGACTCATTGTTTTTGTTGAGGCCAAATGCGCATAGGCTACAATAGTCCAGTTTTCAAAGTAAACCACAACACGATGATTGTAACTAGAAGAAAATGTCCACGGTCACTAGATTTACTTTCATAAGAGGAGCATTACAGCTTTCGCTACAATGCTCAGATAGATAAAGCTATGGAAAGAGCTTTATCAAGTTGAGATGGAAAACTTTATTTAAAACTGCTTTGGGTTTATTTAAAATGCAATGGAAATAGGGAGGGAAAAAAGTACAAAGGAGAAAATAGAAAGGAAGAGAGGTGGGCTGAAAATGCAAACTACATGCAGAAAGACCGCAGGTAAGAATTCAAACCCAGGACTTTTTTGCTGCAAGGCAACCAACTGCTTCACAGTGCAGCCTTTCAGTTAAATTGGTACTATGTAAATAAACTAAATTGTATTGAGGCCTGCTTGGTGGTTGGTTACACCCCACTGTCCTATTGGTCTCTGTGTCGCCCCATGAAAGACTGATGAACTGTCCCACATATACACAACTGCACTGCTGGAGATAGTACTCCTCCCCCATTGACCCTGCAAGAATATAGTGAATGGCTGAATGATGTTAAAGCTGAACAGAAATTTGCAGAAAGTATGATAGCTGTTGGTACTGTCGTAATACCCCAAACGTAGCAGGAGGAATAAGATTGTTTTTGTTTAAGTGTGTCTGCTATTGATTTGATTTTCCTCAGTTTTTGTGCTACAAAATTTTATTTTAACAAGGAAAAGTGAAAGAACAAGTACTACGTATTAGGGGCACAACAGTTTATCAGCGCTGATTTTCTTAATCTTGGGAGATTGGATCTCGGCCGATACTTTCATGTGAAGTCGATGTTATCCACCAATCTTGTCTACCTCAGCAAATGTCTAAATATCAGCCACTGTTTCTACTGTGGGAGGTTTGACTGACAGACCAGCCCACCAGGTCATGTCTGCACATATCCACTTAACAATAGTTGCCCCACTGTTGCCAACTCATCAACTTTCTTTGTTATATTTATATTTCTGACAAAACAAATAAGTATCAGACAAAATGGGAATCAGAAGGTCAGTTGTTTTAAAAATCGATAATCGACCAGAAAACTATATTCGGTAAGTTTAATTGTTGCATATAAAAAAAACAATTTTATGAAATTTAGCTTGAATTTTGCAAATACACATTTATGTTTACAATCATTTCATAGCTTATAGTTGCTTGGAAATGTTTAAACTAATGCCAATTCATTAAAGCGGTGGGACTGCTACTAACCCAGGATGACCCAGAGTAGATCATTAATGAATTAAAACCATCATCTGAAAATGAGAAAGAGGCCACCACAGTACTTATGATTTGTTAATGTATTCCACATAAAGGTCATCTGTCTTCCAAGAGTCATTCCTTAGTCTCAGAAAACTTCTTTTTTTTTCACTCTGAGAATCATATTTCACTCTGATTCAATTTTTGTGTCATTAATGGAGTAATGTGCTAAAACCACAGGCAAATCAGACCAAAGGCATGTTTGTTTCAGGTTCTTTGGTTGATAATTCTCTCATCTTACGTGCCAATAATACTAATTCCCAGATTTTTTTGAAGTGTTGCTTTGCTTTGACGGGCATCCCCAGCCACCGACCTCGAGGCGGCGAATGTCCTTTTTATTACTGCCGTTATTCATCACCTCTCATCTCCTCCATCCCCCCATGCTTCATTTTCATCACTCTGCTCTCTTACTGTCTTTGCCGTCTCTCTTCCCTGGTGTCACTGTCCCTTTCCTTTCTTGTCACCCTGATCTCATTTGCCCTCTTCCTCTGACTCTTTTTCTCCACTCTGATCTGAGTAGCCCCCTGGGTCCCTTGCGGCCCCTCTCGTCAGCTCTGTCTTTAATCGCACTCTCTGTTTCTTCTTCTTCTCAGGCCCATTCACCTATGGATCAGGGACCCCCACCACCCTGGAATTTCATGGACAAATCGACCCTGCTGAGAACCGTCTATCGACCCTGATGCTGATGCACCGCTTGGAGCTGTAGAGCAAGAAGGCAAAAGAGGGAGGGAGCCCAAGGGGGCCAACGGGAAAAGGTCAAAGACTACAGGGCTGCAGCAGAAGCTGAGGTTGAGGAACAAGGGCTTAGGGAGGGAAGGTCAAGGGTCGGCGGATCAAAGATGATGACTTCACATGGAAAGCTGAGGAGGGAGAAGGGCAGCCTGGCGGAGTACGAGTCGCAAATGAAAGGTAAGTGTCTGCGTACATGCACCTCTCCCCATGCATGAGTGCATTAAAGACGCAGTGATGCGTGATTGTATGCATCCATGTAGATCCTTGTATGCAGGAGAGTTAGCGCTCCTGCAAACAAATGCAGCTGACATCGAGCTGACATGTCACAGAAAGTGAAAGGGGCAGTATTATGTATTTTCTAGGAACATAGTGCCATTTTATAATACAATCAAATAACTATGTTAACTTCAGTTGTTAAAAAAAAAGCTATTTATATCAAATATGACTTAGAAAAAACTTTACCTTCCAATATAACGCCTTGAAATTAGGGCTCTGATTTTTTAAAAACTCCTGCTCTTTATAAAACTCCGCCTTCAGGAAGGCAGAGCAGAATGGCTGCTCTTTTAACCCTTTAACAACATTTTTACCAGCATTTCACTGAGAAGAAGCTCCTATAATAAGCTCAGCAGATGTTTCATTACCACCAGGTGTTTGCTAATTGCTGCTGGCTAGTCTGAAGGAGCGGGGGCTAGGGGGAGGTTGGGATGGGAGGGCTGCTCTGTGAGGCAGAAACTCGGAAGCTTGGTCTCTTTGGAGGAGCTGTGCCTTGAAGGCGGGGCTAGGTTCTCCCAGGTGATTTGCAGAGCTGGATGGTTGTCATGGTAGATTAAACAATTGCTCAAACATGCATGAAAGAATCAAGACAACACTCCAGGTGTGTTTTTGATGAAGAAATAACTTGATATAAAGCTCAAAAACGTAGATTTTACATAATACTGCCCCTTTAAAACAACTTTTGTCTGGTAATTTTGCAACTTTATTCTGTGTTAAAAAGCTTGTCCTGGCGATATGAGGCAAATGCATGACAACAGCTTGTTTATGTTTGCTACAGTCTGGAATGTGCGTGTCGCAGCCGGCTGCCTCTCTGTACTGTACTACAACGGGGGGTATTTATAACTAGTATTAGCAATGTTGTCTCCTCACATCGAGTCAGCCTGGAGCAGTGTACTCAGAGCAGGAGGGGAAGAAAAGAGTAAAGTGGAGGAGGGGCAATAAATGAGTAGTAGAGGAGGATGATTAAGGGATGAAAAGAGAAAAAATAGAAAGTAAGGAGGGAGAAACAGAATGAGGGGTGAAAGATCAAATTGAAAGCAGTGATCTCAGACAGCAATGTTTGTCGTAGTTATTTTATATTAAAATTGCAGCGTAGCGGATCTGCTGTGTTTGCTTACAAGCTTGTGCATATAATGTCACGTTATGCTGGATTACTGCAGGCGATGATCCATAAATTGCAAAGTAGACTGAAACACACCTCTCAGAGACAGCATTTTATTCTGAATTTTTACACAAAGAAGAGTCTTTCATTATTCAGGAATAAGACAGTGCTAACAGTGTCTTGGGGGTTTCTGTGATTCAATGGGGGCACTGCTAGCTAAAAGGTCAGTTATGCTAACCATGAAGCACTAATCAAAAAACATTAGTTCTGCTAATGCTAAGGCACAACATAAACACTGTGTTTAGTGGAAGCTAATGCTAAAGCGCTCTTCAATTCAAATTATATCTGCCCTTCAAAGACTTCAACCCCTGAGCACCAATTTAATTTTGACCTCGTAATGTACATTTTCTATAATGCCATTTGATACTGTATTCATGTTTGTCTTGATTTTTAGTGTTTATGTTTAATTTGTTCCTGTGTCCTGTTTGAAATGAAGTTAGTGGGGAGAAAGAAAAGGAGAGGAG